GGGGGAGCCCAGGCAGCCCCTTGCAGGCTGGAACTCTGCCAGCCTGCAAGGGAAAAGCAAGTTTCCCACTTTTTTCTTCTTTAAAGCAGAATCCACTTTTAAAGCTCGTTAATCCTTTTTTAAAGCTTGTTCACAACTCTTTCATATATTCTTGTGACCCAGTCTTGGGTCATGACTCAGGTTGAAAAACGCTGGCCTAGGTGACTGTCTGCGGCCTCTGCCCTCCCCTGCAGCTGTGCCCATGCCTTGCAGGTGTTACCAACAAGTTACCTGGCTGGGCTCTTGGCTCCCATCTGGCACTAGGCCCCCTTTGGCCCCTGTGCTCTTGTTGGGACTTCAGCCTGACTAGCATCTGCCCCTGTCCTGTAGCTGGGTCTTTCCACCCAGGCCCCAGAGTAACAAACCTGGTTTCAGAAGGGTTCCAGCCCTTGTTGCACTCCCTGTAGCTCACTAGGCTCACTGGCCCTTTTCCCCACCCTGTTTGGGCAGCGCTACAGCTTGCTCCCTGCCCCCAGCGGGGTCAAGCTTCTCATGCCTCTCTGACACTCTGGGACTTCCTGTAGTGCCAAACCTCAGTCTAAAACACCAAACCAAAAATCATGCTGACGCCTTAACTAAATGGAGTCCTCTATGGCTTAAGTTTCCAGTCTTACTGGAATGGTGCACTGTCCCCTTAAGATGAGCCACCTGATGGGGGAAGGCCAACTCCTCCCCTTTAAGTAACTGTCTTTTCTGCTGGGTTGCTCATCACCCAGCGCTTGCACTGTGTTGCTTCAGGGGGAGACGGCTCTTGACTGGGTTCCCGAGATTCAGCCTCTCCTTCCTGGAGAAGCTATTTTTTCTCCTGGGGTCATTTCAGTGACTGTCAGATACTGTTTCTTCCTCCCCACCCTGCAGCATGCCTTCATCTGGCTGTTTCACTATCACCTGCACCTAGTGAGTGTGGCAGGAATCCCCAGCTCCCTGCTATCGTGTGAACGTGCCCATAATGCTTTCTGGATCTTGGAACGGAGCAATGTCTGAAAGTTATTAATGAAGATTTTGGGGCAATTGAAGACATTTAAGGTTAAAAAAACAAAACCAAACCTGTCTGTGTGTGACTTTGCTGTGACTTGACTTCAAAAGCGCTTCATTCAATTAACAAAATGTGTATCCTGAGGAAATTAGGTAAAATAGCAGGGATCATTTATCAAAGCATGTTCTGACAAATGCTACAGGATAGATGAGACCTTGAACCACCAAACATGAGATATGAATGAAAGTGTTTTCAAACTGCTTGCTGGACACCTGAAATTGTCTCTATTTTCAGCTCTTCTGGCTGATGCAGCCTCTGACGCATCATATTGTTTTGTTTTGTAGGATGAACTACATGAACTTGCTCCCTGCTGTCCCCTTGTTACTTAAGACTCACTGTCTTACACAAAGCACAATATTTCTATAATAGTTTTCATTTTAGAATAATTTTTTGCTTTGTTCCTCTAATATTTGTTCTGTCTAGGAAGCTCAGTCTGCAGAATATTGGCCCATGCACATCTGCAGGCTTGAATAGACTTCTCGTCTCAATTGTACATGTGGATTTGTAGAATTAACATTTGTGTTTCGGGGTCTGTCTGCACCCCCCACAGGCCCACAGCTGGTCTTTTAAGGGTTTGTACAGTTTTCGTATCAGCATCATTACAAAAAGCTAAGATACGCATTTCAAGTTTTAAGTTTCCATATAAGGTATGTATCATCTTATTCCACGGAAAATTAAATGTTACCAGCAATCTGTTACCCTGACATTTGAAGTTTATAAGCACTTGTATTTTCCAGTGTCTTGTCTCATGCTTCACAAATGACCTTTTTTTCATTAGACTCGATAGTTTTTTGTTATTCTTTCCCCCGCAAGATACTAGTGACGGGCTGTGTTTTGTCAAGCATGACTTGAGTGCAGTGAACTGAGCTGAAATTTAGTCAATCTGCTATTTAGACAGGATTGTTACAGTGTGAATTGAGTTAAATCATTCCTTTTTTTCCTCATCCCTCTTATCATTGCATTCAAGCAACCTTCTTTAAAATAAATAAAAGGGCATGTAGTTATATTTTTTGCAACTGAAAGCATGATGAATGCATTTCCAAATTCACTGTTTTTAAAAAAAAAATTGCATTCTATCAGCAAGTCCATACTAATGATGCATTACTTTTTGTGACTGAAGCTTAACGTGAAGGCATGTTACAAAAATGGGTGTGTCAGTGTTTTAGTAGGAACTTAGTTAGGATGGTTAGGATTTTTTCTGCTGTAGGCACTTTCTAGGCAGAATGCAGTCTGGCGAATTTATTTCTGATCTTACAGGAGTAAATCAGGAGTAATTCCTTTGAAGTTCTACTAGTGTCAAATGATTTAGAATAGGATCTGGTCTCCTCTCCACAGACTTAGTATCTCTCAATTTATTAGAAGCTAAGGGCTGTTCTCAAATAGTGATCTTCAAGCAGCCATTATTACTGCCTCATTAAAATTGAGGGGAAAAAAATTATTTGAATGGAAAAGAGATAGCAGTAGATACCTGTATTAATGGTTCATGAAAGCAGATTTATAAAGGTATTATGCCTTAAAACATCCTCCTGTGTAAAAACACTGAAGCTGGATTAGACAAGTGGTCTATCCATTCTGGTGGCGTGGTGCTGTTAATGGCCATTGTCAGTTGCATTTGCAGAAGGTACCAGATATTTCATAGTGGTCCTTTATAAAATAAGCTGTCCAAGGGAAACCATCCTCTTTTTAACACCTGCCAGTCTGGTTTATGTCCTGAAGTATAAGAGCTTTTAAACGCTTTGTCCTGTTTAATGGGACAATCATGATCCTCTTTTTTGGAATTCTACTAAATTTTGGCCTCAGACATGTCTCATAGTAAATTATCCACCATTTAATTAAATATAGAGTCTTTCCCTCAGTCCTGGCTGTAAATTTTTTCTCCTCGAATGGAACTGTACCTATGTTTGCATAATTTTGTTAAATTAGACCCATTAATTAGGTGCAGATTTTGTTTGTAATAGGTTAACTCACAGGAAGATATAGTGCTCTTAGCAGCTCTGCATTAGTATATGCCAGGAGTGGCCAAACTGAAGCTTTTTTGCTGCATGCAGC